GCCTGTTCTGCTCCTCACTGTCTCTGGTGAATCCTCTCTCTCTCTCTCACACACACACACACCCACACACCTCTGGCTTATACCTCAATTCTTGTATGCATAAATAAATAAAAAGAAGTGTTAAAAAAAAGAATTCTTAGAAAGAAAGTAAAACCAGAGAGAGTATGGAATATAATGTATCATGATAGAGCAGAAATTGATAAATGTAATTAAATGTGAACTATAAAAAAATTAAACAATAAGGGCCTCCTCTGGTGGTGCAGGTGGTTCAGCACCACACTGTGAAACTGTCCACAGCCTCTGCAGCGTGGGTTCGATCCCAGCCAGCCAGCAAGACTCCCACATGGCGCAGCAGACCTCTCCTGTCTCACCCGCTGCTCCCCTCAGCAGTGTATTTCATCAGTCTGCCTGTTCTTTTCCCTGCTCTGTCTCTGGTGAATCCTCTCACCCTCCCGCATATCTGGCCTGTACCCTGGTTCTTAAATAAGTAAATAAATCTTTAAAAAAAATAAACAATAAGAATTAATTTTCTTGTTTAAAAATGTCACTAAAATTCTAAACAAAAGAAGTCGTGGGGGTTCACCAATAAAGAGACTACTAATATAGCCCTTGTCTTGCTGAGCAATTCAATGGAGATGGCAACTATAAATAAATGCTTGGTGGTAACCATTAAAATTCTAAAAAAATACAATCGATAGTTTTCAAACCTCTATACTTTAAAAAAGGGGAGAAAGGATATGGAAAACTTTACATTCCAATATGAAGGGGAATAAAGTTCAAGAGGAAAGGGTAATGAAGGGAAAAGATAAAATGGTAGAAATAATTTGCAATAACTACAAACAGATTAAATGCCACTATTAATCAACATAAGCATTTTTCTTTTTTCTTTTTTTTTTTAAATTGAGCTAACATTGGTTTACAATGGTGTTTTCAATTTAGAGATATAGGATCTCCATCTTTCTAGGGGTCCTATTGTTAGGGGGGAAAGGATGTCCTAAAGCTAATTCCATACAGGCTTTGTAGACTCCACCCCCCACTCCAGACCAAAGCCAAAAGACACTGGGAACTCCAAATCCCATCACACCAAAGGGAAGGTGGCTGGGACCTGAGGGTGGGGTTAAGCAGCCAGGTGTGGTATAAAGCCAGAAACATGGGCTTTGGAGGGAGTCCTCCATTTTGGCTCTCTGCCAGCTCGCAGCATCCGGCCAACTCTGAGAGTGCCTTTGGGTTTCCAGGTCAGCAGATCGGGTAGGACACATTAAAGATTTTATTTCCCTATTTTCTCCCTAAGTTGTACATTTCCTTAATTCCCTTTCCCTTGTAAATAAACCTTTTATTAACCTTTTGTGTGTGCCTGTAGTGGAGTATTAATAAGTCCCTTTTAAGTGCGCGGGTGAGGACCCACAGCCAGGCAACCCGTTTTATTTTATATCGGGGTTGCCCTTGTTGTGCCCAAGATCAGCAGACTCGGCAAGCATAGCCTCCAAGAATCCAAAGACAGCTGCTGATGCAAATGCAAAAAGGAGTTTATTCTGGTTCGAGTCCGGGCTCATGGCACCTACCAACGCAGTGGCAGATAGCGAGAGCCCCGAACAGAGGAAACAGGGGTCTATTATAGGGTCACGAGTGGTGCGAATTTTGAAAGAAGCTGGCAATTACTCATTGGCTACTACAAAGGCATTTTGGCGCCCGGTTACAGTTTCAAACTGATTGGACGGTTAGAGATGCTGTCCCATTTATGGATAGGACTGCCCTCATTGGCGGCTGGGGTGGTCTGATTTTTCGTCACCAAGTGGAGTGAGAGTTGTGACTGCTGAAACTATCTCCGGAATGCGGCTGGACAAGGACTAACATATCAAGGTGGAGGATATACAAAATGGCGAAACCTCGGCTAAGCTTGGTGGTAACCACTAAACAATACATCACACCCAGGACCCCTAATCATCCACCAAAGCCCATTGTGTTCCTTCCTCACTGTGTTCTCCCCTCTCCCTCTTCTCTAATAGCTTCAATTCTACAGTGAGAGTTCTAGAGTTGTTACTGGTTTGACTTTACGTCGCCTCGAGGGGTGGCAGCATTGGGAGCGGTGTGGGACCAAGGAAAGACAACTCAAAGTCCAAGTAGAGAGAGAGGGACCTAGAGGGGCTACCTCTCAAGAGATACAGCACCTTCCCCATGGCCAGTCTCAACATTTATTTGGTATCATATTCAGGGAAGATGGGCAAGTATGTGCAGGAATGTGTGTGGTGGGGATGTGGATTGGGGATGCATAATTGTCAGGCACAAGCTAGGGGAGAGTGAATAGGGGATGTTGCTTGGGGGGGTCTTCGTTGTTGCTGCTGATCAAAATATCATATCTCTAGTTCCTGTTTACACTTAACTTCCTTCCAAGGTGGTCTAGCTGGTTATGCTAACGTGGCTATAATGTCTGCCTGCTGTTTTCAGCAGATATCCTCCTACCAAGACTTTTGTCCTGGGCCTCCCCTGGTGGCACAGGAGGTTGAGCGCAGTGCTGTGAAGCTGTCCACAGCCTCTGCAGCACTGGATCGATCCCCGCCAACCGGCGAGGGTCCCACATGGTGCAGCCGACCTCTCCTGTCTCGCCTGCTGCTCCCCTCAGCAGTGTATTTCGTCAGTCTGCCTGTTCTGTTCCCTGTTCTGTCTCTGGTGAATCCTCTCACCCTCCCACACATCTGGCCTGTACCCCAGTTCTTGCATAAATAAATAAATAAATCTTTTAATAAAAAAAAAGACTTTTGTCCTGATGAGAGGTTCCCAGCCTGACTCTAATTTTTGAGAGCCCAGCAGAAACTTTGGGCATCAAGACAACATCCCAAGAACAAGAGGGGCTGGGGAATCCACAGCTGTATCTGACCCTTTATTTTGTTTCTCTATTTCCACATATAAAGTGACGCCATCCTGTATTTGTCATCCTCCTTATGATTATTTCTCTTAGGATTTTAATATAAACTTTATATTCATGACATACATATTAATGAAACAGCGCAAGGAGCTTGGAAATGAGTGGATGAAAAACTATATCAGACTTGCAGTGAAAAATGATAGCTGAAACACATGAATTTACTCATGTTACATTCTGAAATCCCACTAAAAATGGCAGTTTGGTAGTCCTAAACCTACAAAAACTAACACAATAGCAAAAGAGACATCAGCTATAATATTATGAAAGCTGTAAAATCAGTGGATTCTGGTAATTGAGTTTGATAGTAGTGAGAAAAATGAGAAGCCAACCCAATTTACACTACAGACTCAAAATGCTTAGGATTTAGTGACACAGGGGATCTCTGAAATGGGAAGAAATAATGAAAATTATACTTCAAATAGAAAGACTTCCTGAAAATGTTTAAGATGCAGTTCCCCAGATTCCATCAAAAGGCTATTTGAGGATTATGAGTAATATATGTAAAGTACACAGAGAATTGTCTGACACAAAGCAAGTTATATATGTTTGCTGTTAGCATGCCATAATGAGAAGCTAATAGATAATTTTACCAAAAAATGGAGTAGCAATATTAGTATACTATAAATATAGAGATAAATGCTAAAAGAATCATCTAAAAGAATTTAAATTCTTTCATCTGGGACAGTGGGGTGGGGGGTGGGTATGGAATAGAATGTTACTAGTTTTAAATGTAAACCTCATAAGATATTTGTATCTGTAATGTTTTAAAAATAAAAGCCTAAAAGAAAATAAGGAATAAAAGAAAGGAAGTTGGTAGGCATACTAGCAAATAATAACCAGAAGAAAACTGTATAACAATATTCATAACAAATAAAACAGAATTTAGGGGGAATAAAGAGGGACACTACAAATTTTCAAAAGTATGAAAAGGTGGGTCTTCAAATGCCATAGCTTCTTTCAGTGTTTTTCCTTCAAAACACTGATGTGGAAAAAAAAAAATCCTAGTCTACACTGAATGGAAAGATTGTTATTCAAATAAAAGCCTTTGTTATATATTGCTTGACTTTCAACAATGTTACATGAGGACTTAGGATGCTTTTGAATTTGTGTGTGTATCCAACAGCATAGCTTCACAGGAAATAAAGCAACACTGGACAGGATTTTAAGAAATGTTTTTTAAACATAAAATCTTATTGCCACAGTCAGAACTTGATATATTAAGAAATGGAAAAAATATAATATGGATTATTTGAGCTATAAACTTTCAAACCAATGTTTGATATTCAGAGTTCCATACCCCTTGAGAATTCTCAGTACACATGGGATATTAGAGAAGTTGGTCAGGCTCTGGGTCACAAGGAGTCTCAATAAGTGAAATAAAATTTAAAGCCTCAGACCATACAGACCTCATTCTGTGACCATATTGAAATTGAATTACATATCAATCAATAGTAAAAAAAAATATATTTTAGGGCCTCCCTGGTGAAGCAAAGGATTAAGTCTCAGCACTATGAAGCTATCTGTAGCCACTGAAGCACAGAGTTTGATCCCAGGCCAGGGAGCTGACCAACATGGTGCAGCAGACGTCTCCTGTCTCACCAGTTGCTCCCCTCAGCAACGGATTTCAGTCAATCCGCCTGTTCTGCTCCCCACTCTGTCTCTGGTGAATCCTCTCACTGCCCTGCCCCCACCTCTGGCCTACACCCCAGTTCTTGCATGCATTAAGAAAATAAATCTTTAAAAAAAGAAAAAAAGAAAAATATTTTAAAGGAATTCATATGTTTGAAACGTGGATAATGGTCCCTTCAACAACTCATAGTTAAAAACAAAATAATGATAGAAATTACTGGATAAAGAGTAGATAATAAGAAAGTTCGGTGTACCTAAGTCACCAGATACAGCTAAAGCAATTCTTAGTGTTAAATATATGCTTTTAAGGAAATATTAAAAAGATAGAAAATAAATGAGATACCTGTTCATCTCAAAAGCTAAAAATAAGTAAAAGAAAGCTTAAAGATTCAATAACTAATTTTAATGAGGGAAAAAAAAACACAGATGATAAAACAAAAGTTCTTTGAAAATATGAATAAAGATCCACAAATCTCCAGCAATGATCTAGGAAAAAAAGAGTAAAAAGTATTAGGAACAAAAAATATATATACAGAATTGAGATTTTTCTATAAGAAAGTCATGAAAAATATTAGTTCCCCAAAATTATAAATTGTAATAAAATGGTCAGTTTCCTGTAAACGAATTTTAGAAAATTGACTCAGAATGACCCAAGTGCATCACTAGCCATTAAATAAATTTATAAGTGATCAAAAGTTTTCTTCATTCTTCCAACAAATGACAACAGCCTGAAGTTTCCTACAGGGGTTTTAACAAACCTTAGTAGAGCATCTCAACTAGTGTTTTTCCATAGAAATATTATGGAGGCCACCTACATAATTTTACATTTTCTAGTAGTGACACTAAGAAAAGGTGACATTTATTTTAATAATACATTTTATTTATAATACCCAAACTATCATTTTAATAAATGATAACAAATAGAAATAGTAATGAAGATTTGAAAATAGTAATGAAATACCTTATGAATTTTTTCACATTGTTTGAAATCCAGTGTGTAATTTATAGTCACTGTGTGTTTGGCTTGCTACCAGACACATTTCAGGGGCTAACTAGCCACACGTGGCCAATGATGATCATCTTGTGCAGCACAGATCTACTCCCTATTTTAGACACATAGTTTCATATAATAAAAGAGGAAAAGCTGTGCAAATTATTTGATGAGGCTTAGAAAACCCTGCTATCGGGCCTCCCTGGTGGCACAAGGGGTTAAGACACAGCCTACGAGGCTGTCCACAACCTCTGCAGCATATGAGTTCAATCCCTGTGCAGCCAGGGCACAACCCACATGGCACAGCAGACCTCTCCTGACTTGCCCGCCTCTCCCCTCAGCAGTGTACTTCGGTCAATCTGCCGGTTCTGTTCCCCACTCTGTCTCTGGTGAATCCTCTCACCTCCCACACCTCTGACCTGTATCCCAGCTCTTGTACGCATAAATAAATAAATCTTAAAAAAAAAAAGAAAACCCTGATATCAAAACCAGACAACATTAGTACAAGAAAGACACTTGTCGAGGGATTAAAGCATAAATGATAAATGGAAAAATTCCAAATAAAATATTATGAAATTCACATTGTCTCCCTGATGACGCAGAGGTTAAAATCTCAGTGCTATCAGTCTGTTGCCAGCCACTGGGATATGAGTTCGATCCCCGGCCAGGAAGCTAACACACATGGTGCAGCAGACCTCTCCTGTCTTGCCTGCTGCTCCCCTCACCAGTGTATTTCAGTAGATCTGTCTATTCTGCTCCCCACTCTGTCCCAGTGAATGTCTCACCCCCACGCCCCACCCCTGGCTTACACCCCATATCTTGAATGCATAAATAAATATTAAAAAAAATATTATTTAAAAAAAATGAGAATATAGAATATAGTCCCACTAGCTATTAAAACTTATTGTAAAGATATGGCAATAGGATTGTCTGATGTTACAGTAAAATATCCCAAAGAAACAACATAGAGAACATGGTACATGACAAGAGGAGCACGGCAAAGCAGGTGGCAAGAATATCCTGCTCAGCTTCTGGTGCTAGGACAATTGGTTATCCACAATAGGAAAAACAAAGTTTCAGATCCCTACTTTGCATCCTGCACAAAAAAAAAAAAAAAAAAAAAAAAATATGCTAAATGGCTTAAAGCTTAAAATATGAGAAATGAAACTAAATTTTTGAAAGAAAATATGAGTTTATGGCAGGGTTTCTTAAGCCAGATTTCTTTTCTTTTCTTTTTCTTTTTTTTTTTTTTTTTTGCTATTCATAATTGCATTTATTTATTTTTATTTTTAAAATTTATTTTACATAATTCTTACATCATTTTTCATTTTTGCACAATGTATGCATTTTCATTTTGGTTATAATCCCCATACAATTCCTACCCCCCTTATTTTGACCCTAATCCCTCTTCTCTGTGCCCCCCTCCCCTCAGTGTGTCTCTGGTTTATAGTTGATAAGCCAGATTTCTTAAACAAGAGCCCCCAAAGCACAACCTATTTCGGTAAATACTGATCTATTTTACTACATTAAAATGTAAAACATATATAAAAGAGAAAATATCACCAAAACAAAATTTAAAATCATTCCCAGGCTGGGAGAAAAACTTTGTAATGCTAAAACTAACAAATGAGTAGATCTAGGATATATAAGGAATACCCAGAAATCATTACAAAGAAAATGAAAATCCAACAGAAAAATGAATAAAGAATATGAAAAGAAAAAAAATACCCACATTGCAAATGGGGTGTAAATTTGAACAAGCACCATGGCAGGCAATTTAACATCTACTAAAGTTGAACATGTGTAGGTGCCATCGTTCAGCAATTATACTTGGAATTAAACACCCATGAGAAACTTCATATTTATTATACAAACCAATTAGTTCTCTCTTTTTGTACTGTCTTTATTGCTCTAGACTGTGTCCAGAGGACACTCTAAGTATATAACGGTATTCTCTTAGAACAAATACCAAAACAGCTTCCCCAAGATTATGCCAAATAATACTAAAAGTTGCACCATCAATTTTGTTTGAAATAGCTTCCCTTTCTATCACAGATATAAACTGCATTATACTAAGAAAATATTGCCAGAAGGAGCAATAAAAAATGAAAATGATCTTTAAGAACGACTACATTTAGAATTAAGTACAAAATCCTTAGCAGAATGTATAAAATCAGGTATGCTCTCTGGCTGGTCTGCCTCTCCAGCATCCTGATGCCCCACTCTCCCCAAGTTCTTCTCTCCCCAAGGCTCTCCTCATCCCAGTACTAAGAGCATCACCTAGCTCCATGAATTCACCATGCCTCTTCTATCAAAAACTGTTCCTTCTGCCTGAAAGTTGTCTACTCAACTTCTTCTGTCTTGCCAACTCATGCTCAATTTACAGGTAGCACTTTTGGCAAACAGTAAATACTTAATAAACATTTTTGGCCTGGCATAGACTAGCTAAATACTCAAATGATTTGTCTTGTTTGACTATATTTGTGTTTACGAATAGAGTCTGGTATAATGTCCTTCAAAAATTAGGCCACAAACTAGGAACTGCATCCAAGCTCAAGGGGATTGGCAAGTTGGAGAGAAAGGGTGAAGTTAGGAGCCAGTGGGAATGGTGCAGAATTGATAAGGAATGCCATTTTTTTTTTAAGATTTATTTATTTATGCATACAAGACCTGAGATGTAGGCTAGAGATACAGGGGGTGGGAGGAGCGGGAGAGGGGGGAAGAGGATTCACCAGAGACAGAGTGGGGAGCAGAACAGGCGGATCCACTGAAATACACTGCTGAGGGGAGAAGCAAGTAAGACAAGAGAGGTCTGCTGTGCCATGTTGATTAGCTCTGTGGCCAGGGACTGAACTCGAGCTGCAGTAGCTGCTGATAGCTTCATAGTGCTGAGACTTAATCCCTTGCGCCACCAGGGAAGCCCAGGAATGCCATTCTTGAGAATACGTCCCTTATTCCTGAAGCATGATAGGAAAAGAACTAGGAAACAGGATGTCCTATAAGACAAGACCAACTCAAGGACACACACAGCTCTTGTAAATGCAAGGGTCTTTACGTGGTCCTGCTGAAAAGATCAGAAACGGTGTTTTTGAAACTTGTTCTATAACACGTAAAGCCAACAAACTCCCATTTGGATCATCTTTTGTGATTTAACTGCCAGGGGATGTCATGCTACAGTCAAAACACCTGGATGAGTGACCCCACAAGGTACTGTCTCCCACCTGTAAGACTAATCTACTAGTCATTTGACCCTGGCCAATCTGGTAGCTCTGAGGCACTGGATCTGAAAGCAGTGCTATTATATGTGGTTGTCTGATGCTTTTGCTGAGTTCAAAATTTTCAGTCCTGGGGGTTTCCTAGGGTACAGCTAGCTAGATGTTTAAAACTATAGCAATCTAGGTCCCGGGGTGGGGGGTGGGGGTGTGTGTGGGGGGAAAATGCTTACTCAGCAGTTTAGACTGACAGATGAAGGCTGATAAGAGAGTATAATAATACACCTCTGAGTACAATTAATGTCCTAGTCTCACTCAGCAACCCCAACTTTTGGTGACCCACATGTCTCGTGGCATGCTATCACCTCTACAGGCAGCTCCAGGCAGCATAGATGTCAGTAGCAGCTGTATCCTCAGGAGATAACTGACCTCATTTGGGCCTAACTCTCTGGAAACTTGGCATATGTACCTTGTGTCAACACTGAATGTCTGGACCCATCATCACTTAAATGCAAAGACTAGAACCTACCACCCTGAATTCCACAAATCATTCCTTCTAGTAATCAGGTCAATGATGTAGTACAAAGTTCTGGAGTATTAAGTCCTATAGCAGGAAGACTGTCCACCCATAGATCCAGCACCCTTGGAAGAACAGGTGTGCCCACAGGGTATATGTTTGTCATAATCTTTGCAAAAGATAGGAGGGTAGGAGTCAGGGGTCCCAGGACAGTAGCCACAGGAAGTTATAGACATGTACCTGATGTATCTCCATTATTTGCTGTGTAAATATCTATTCAGAAATATTCAAGGCTCAGCAACTTTTCCTAGCACTTCATCCACTGAGCCTTAAAGATGATCCATAGAAGATTCCAGTCCCCAAAACCCTGCTAGGAATTAAACCCAAGTCACATACAGTTCAACACTGTTGACAGCATATGTAGCCAAACACATTGCTTGGCTCAGGTGAGAGGTCCAGGTTGTCTTCAGGCAAAACACAAGGACTGGAGGAGAGGTACTACCTATTTTCCCTTTTCTATTAGGCAGATTTGACCACACTCAGTCCCCATAGAACACTGTAGCCTGATATTTGTAGGTGTAGTAGGATTAAATGTATCAAAAAGAGAGCTAAACATCAATGGGGAAAGTGGGAAATGTGCCCTTATAAAACTGCCAAAGCCAAAGTAGACAGTGCCCTCATGTGGAAAAATCATTTAAAGAAGACGAACTCCTATAGATAATCTGTTAGTAATGAGTATTTTTCAGAAATATGCAAGAGGCTAGTTATACGCCACCAAGCAGCTGGCAGAAGCCAGCTGATAATCCTCCACAGATCACAATGGCTACAATTCTGCAGCCAAAGATCACACGATCAATTAACATGTGCAAAAAACAAAGGATTAAATTTATTATATAAAACTTAAACCCAAGTCATCTGGAGTTCAACAAAACTTAGCTTATTTTTAATATAAAGAAAAAAGTAAACACAACATCTAGTTAATAGAAAATCTGTATTAGTACCCCCACTAAATAAAGATGCATTTTAAAAGTAATAATTTGAAGGGGTGCCCAATTATTACTCTTCTGAGATGGGCACCCACTTATTTCCACTGGACTCCAAGTTATAGCCACCTGTAAGGGAAGATCAGCATGGTTTCACAGGCTTATCCGTGATTTGTTTTTTTTTCTGAAGATGGCAGGAGCAATGGTGTTCGGATGTACTGAGCACTGAGTCAGAAGTTTGTCAGTTTCCTGAACCCAGATCACATAAATCTGGAACGTGTACGAAAATGAGGGGTGTTACCTGAAAGGGAAGCAAAGGTGAGAGGTGGGAGGTGAGAGAAGGGTCTGAACTTCTATAGAACTGGAGCTCTATACTGTTCTCCAGCAGCTTCAGAGAGGCTTGCTGGCTAGGTAAGTGCAATAGTACGTACACCACTACCAACGCGAGCAGCAAACCCAACAAAGCAGTTTTCCTGCTGGAGAGTCGACTGTTTAGTTTGCCAACGAAATGCTGCTCCTATAATTTACTCTTGCTCTTTTACTTCTGCTTTGTTACACCAGTTAATGAATTTCATGCCTTTCACCTGCCCTGTTTGCCCTATCTGGGCACTCTCTCTGCGCCTCACTTCAGTCTACATCCAGTGTGGAGTCCCTATTCCACCAGACTGCTCTGTTGCTTGCACCCTTTACAATGTGGCACTGCACTATCTCAGATTCCCCAATCATGAGTCCATCAAATCTATGTGTTTTTCTCAGACCTCATGGCATCCAAACATTGCTGAAGAAAATTTCATAACCTGGAATTCTGGAATCATTTAAATCTGGGGTATACAACTTCCTGTGTCCTCAGTGCTTCTTGGAATCTACTTGACCAGGTTGGCTCTTTTGAAATTAACCCACTTTCTCAAAGAAAATTATTGTCCTCCAACTCTTCCGCACACATAATATCTTCATGTCACCTCACCTCCTAATTCAGGGGAATTCTTTCAAATTCTTTTGTGCGGTAGGGTGTAGTACCTGTACCAACAGCATCTACATCACCCAGGAACTATTAGAAATGCACTTTCTAGGTTCCACTAGAGGTTTACTGAATCAGAAACTCTGGGGATGGAATCCAGCTGTCTGTGTTTTAATAAGCTCTCCTCCAGGCTATTCTTTTTCATACTCAAGTTTTTTGTGTGTTTGAGATACAATTGACATTTAACACAGTATTCATTTTATGTTTAAATATGAGTTCTTATTGCAAAATGATTTCCACAGTTTACATCCATCCAACATTCATAATTTTTTCTCTTGTAATGAGAACTTTTAAGATTTACTCTCCCAGTGACTAAAAATATTTCTGTCTATATTACATTTCTTCCTTTTATGTCAACAAAACAATTATTGCTGCTCCTTTCCTTCTTTATTCTCTTTACCTCAATTTTGTCACCTATAAAATATGAATAATAATACTGACCTCACGAGGTGTTTGTGAGTATTAAATAGTATCACTTAATAAATTGAGCATACACTTGTAAGATTTTTAAAAAATATCTCTATGGGCCTCCTTGGTGACACAGGCAGTTGAGCGCAGCGCTGTGAAGCTGTCCACAGCCTCTGCAGTGCCAGTTCGATCCCCGCCGGCCTCGGAGCAACCCACATGGCGAGCAGACCTCTCCTGTCTAGCTCACTGCTCCCTTCAGCAGTGTATTTCATCAGTCTGCCTGTTCTGTTCCCCTCTCTGTCTCTGGCGAATCTTCTCACCCTCCCATGCATCTGGCCTGTACCCTGGCTCTTGTATAAATAAAATAAATCTTTAAAAAAAACTCTATAAAAATACAATATACAAATGATAAAATTCACATATTTAACATGTATAAGCCACTTCACTGATTTTTAGTATATTCACAGTTGTACCACCATCACCACAGTCTAAGTTTCAAATGCTTTTATCATGCTGAAAAGAAATTCTATACCCATTAACAGTTAATTCCCATTCTCCTTTCTCTACATCCCCTAACACCCACTAATCTATTTCCTGTCTCTATAGATTTACCTGTTCAGGACATGTCCTGTAAATAGAATCATACATTATCTGTTCGAATGTGATTGGCTTCTTTCATTTAGCACAATGTTTCTGAGGTTCAACTTGCAAAGATTTTAAAACAGTCTCTGGCACATGGTTAAGTGTGCTATAAGTGTTAATGTTTGCAGTTATTCCTGGACTTAATATTCCCCAAGGACCCTATGTTTTCCATACTCCTGGGACTTTCTGGGACTCCAGTAATTGTTCTTTCTCTGCAGTATTTTTAACCCTCCTTTCCTACTTTTATCTCTGTCTTGGCATATAAATCTCCTCGAATTTATCTAATATCAAGTTATCAACTATCTCTCTCTCCAGAGAAAACTAATTTAAAAACTACTCAACTGTTAATGCCTTATTTTTCCATTACCTTCTCACAACTGATCTAGCATATAGTAGTGGAAGAACTTCTCTTGAAATTGCTACTGACTTTTCAGAAATGGACCCTTAAAACAACCACGTGTGTTCTGCTAAGTTGAGCTGTACAAAATGACCAATATGAAACTACTCTGACTTACAAAAATGGCAATTTTCTATACAACCTATCGACATCCTCCAACCAAAGACTACCAGGAACACACCTGCAGAAATAGCAAGTTGGGTACCTACTTCTTGAAATAAGAGTAAATGCACACTCTGGAGAAGTATGTGGTATCTCAGTAGGAAGGTGATAGAAAACATTACAAGACTGGGGCTTGTCTTAGAAGATTAGGGTGGGAGGTGGAGAAAGATCCAGTTAAGGAAGCATGGCTTTACTCTAAGAGGCTGAATGAATAAGGAAGCAGAAACAATTACATGATTGGGTCTCTTAATAAAGCTTATGTAGAAAGAAAGACTAGAGTAGGGCTGAAGCTATAATTGATCAAAAAACAGTAATCACACAGATCAGACAGGAGAAGAAGATGTTTGGTTGTTTTCATTGGACAATGTTCACGGAATGCCTACTGAGTGACCATGTTTTTGTCTTGATTATCATCGTCACAGAATAACTGTCTGATGTTAATGTTCTCACTACAATTGTGTTCCAGTGCTGGGTGAGATCCTAGGAATTTTGTGGCTTGACAATAGTAATAAGCCAACATCTAGGTGCTTTTTTTTTCCCTCAGTTCCCCTTATTGGTCAAGAGCAGATATCTCCATGATATCTAGATTTTTTACTGCTCCAGGCATTTTGTTCTCATGAAGTTCAAAAGGGTATCTAGAGAAGAGTTCATAGGGGATGAACTCTTCGCTCAAAGAGGAAGGATAACCCCTCCTCTTTCTGTCATAATGAGTTGTTGAATCATCTATCAAGGCTATTCTGCATGAGATCTACCAGTCAACTGAAAAAGAAAATAATTATCAGAAACAAAATAATTATTCACTCATCTTTCTTTTCATTCACTTTTGTAAAAAATCTCAAAGCCTGGGGCCTAGAATATAAAACTCAGGCAATAGAATTAAGTTCCAGGATCTACCTGGATTCTTTGTAGCAAGCCGAGTAGATTTTTCTTTTAGCCTAGTTGTCAGTACCAGGCTTACACCAGCAGGGGGACCTGGGGTGGTGGTCGCTTCCGCCCAAAGATGAGTCACTTCCGCCCAAAGCGGAGGCTGATGCAACAGTAACCGGATGTTGCAAATCCACGTAAAGTGCATGCGCAGGCTTTCCGAGAGATAGCCCCTCCCCTAAAATAAAGAGAGTTCCTGCAGCCATCCATGTGAGTAGAAGCATCTTTTCATCCCCAGCCCCTCCGCCATGTTCCTGAACCCCGTCGGCCTGCAGGCAGGACCGGCACCTAGTCATTGTAGTGGCAGGAAGGGCCAAAGCAGGTTCTCCATGATTCAAGCAGACAGGGTAAGGAGAAGAGAGTCCTGGAGCCCTCAGTGGCTTTTGCATGCTTTTATCTATCAGGATTTACCAGGTACACAGCCGGCAGGGGTGTAAGGGGGCGGGGGCAGCCAGGAAGCTGGCAGGCCTCCCAGCCCCCAGCAAGTCTTCACTCTTTCTGGGCTCTCCAGTGTTCTCTGGGGAGCCTCAGCTTCTCTGCTCTTCTCGCGGTTCTGCTCTTCCATTCATTCTCATTTTCTGCTCTTCCTGGCGTCCCCATGACGCCGCCCTTATAGGCCCAGCCTAAGCCCAGGTGAATCCTATCTACTTATGCCCACACCCTATTCCAGGTGCCCACCATCAGGCATGCATTCAGGACCGCAGGGATCCATCATCAATCCTAATGGCAGGAGGGCAGAAAAGCCTGATACTTTTTTCACTTATCCTATAGTCATGAACAATTCTACTTTCTTTCTAGTATAGAACTATAACAAGCAGCGATTTTTATAGTACACAACCTTCCTTCACTAGGTAAGAATAATGCTGACTGTGACTATCCATGACAACTCTAACTTTAAATTTAAACTGGTTGATCACCTGCTCAGTTGTTACATCTCCACAGTACCATTGGTTGGTACATTTGGGTATTAATCAAAAGATTGGTGTTTTAAATCCACTCAAAGAAGCTATTGTGAGACTCATTCCACATACTAATTAGGGCATGGCCTACATTCTTATAATAGATTTCAAAATACAGTGGCTCAAATGTAACTGAAGGATATTTCTTTTTAAAAAATTGGTTGATTGGCCTTCCAGAGATCAGAGATCGAGTTGGATAATTCGTAAGTTATGCTAGGTTCAAAGAAAAATTTTTGACATTCTTTTCCATTAGTCTTTAATTGTGGGAATTGTAACTCATCCATATGCATAAAGTAGAAGTTTTCTTTACAGAAAATTTTGCCAAGTTCCTTCTGCTTACCTCCTTTAATAGGTTTTAGAGGGCATTCGGTTCAGGGAAATATGATTTCCTAGTGCTTAAATTTTTGAAAACCTCTATTAATTACCCTAAGTACCCAGGTTAAAATAGTATGTGGTAGGCAGGTATATGTCATATAAGTTCAACTGTATAAGGACATTATATTTAGAGTGAAATATAAATTAGTACAATAGGAGGAAGTCAAATTTTTTTCCTTTAAGTAGGGTATATCCCTTGATTATAGTTGAACAGTTCCTGAAAGCAGGTTGGTGTGTTTCTGAAAAGGAAAAACTGGTTTATGTAGAAATAATGGTCCTTATATTAGTTCTTATTCCTGAAATGCTAAGTATTGCTGATACAGTTGTAATAATTTTAGCAAAAGCATTTTTCTTACATGAGGTGAAGTTTTAATTTTTACAGGACCAAATCAAAGTTGGGATTAATGATGTAAGGGAAATTTAAATTATGGAAGGTCTCATAAAAGGTAATCTACCTTTTTTAAAGTGTTTGAAGGAATAGTCATTAAATTTGTTGGCAGACAGTAAAATTCTGCACTAGCTATGATCTGAGAAAAACCACAAGAAAGTTTTCTTTTCTTGACCAAAGACCATAGAGTCAAAAATAATAGAATGAAGATAAAGGCGGTCAGCCTAGTTATTTAACAGAGGATATCAAAATACAAATAAGTAAGATAATAATGGTAAAGGATCTTGTTCCACTCTCTGGAATGGAAGCTGCATTTTCCATAGGCAGTGAAAGACCTATACACTGAAAAAAGAGCAAACAGTGATGGAAGAAATGAAAGAATACACAAATAAATGGAAAAACAGCCTGTGTTGTGAATTGTATGACTTAATATTGCTACAATGTAAATATATCAAATGAACTACAGTTCAATCTCTAACAAAAACCCTTTTTAAAGAAATGGGAAAAACAATCCTAAAATTCATATTGAACCACAAAGCACCCTAAATAGCTAAAACAACTTTAAAAAAGGAAAAAGCAGAAGGCATTGTAACAGGGTGGTCCCCAGGAAAGGGGGAGGTTCCAGGTTCCCTGCCCCACCCAAGGAAGGGTGGAGCTGAGCAGGAAGAGAAGAAGCTGGAGAAGAGACTGAGGAAGGAAGCAGGATGGAGGCAGGAGACCTGGAGGAGGCGCGTGGAGCCTAGAGACACGTGAAGAAACTGCGCTTGTCTTTTGGTCGTGGACTGGGTGACACAGATGTGGGTGAGACCCGTGGGGAGGTGACAATGGCAGCTTTTATCTTGATGTTGATTTTGCTCTTTTCCTTCCGGGCTTGTCCAGTTGTTTGTGACCCTTTTCTGTGGGTCCCCACTGGAAGATGCTTTAGACTTGTGGCGGGCTTTGGGGCCTTGTTCTGGGCCGATCCCATATGGATGGACTTTTACCCACGAGGGGACGGGTAACTTTGGGTGCTTCATTTAGAAACTAGACTCTTTGCCTTTCCTGTATTGTTTCCTAGTTTTATTAAAGTTCCTTCCCATTAAAGTCTCATATGTTTTGTGTTGATGCGGCGGATGGCAGAACCCATTTAGAATAGGCAGGTTTGCGGGGCTTGGGCTACCCCTCTCCTTGTCCTATAACAGATTTGGCGTCCAACGTGATTTAGGACAGAGCCATCCGTGGTTAGTCAGCCCCATGGGGAAATTGGGCTTCCCTATGGCACTGGCTACCATAAGCGCAAATGTGATTTTTGGTTTCTCCGGTGTGTTTGTTTCATATGTCGATTTGAAGATCTGTGTGTCTGTATGTAATTTGTTTGTAGTGACTTGCTAAGACATTTGATTTTGTGGAAATTGTTCTGTGCCAGTTTTACTCAAAAGATTAGGCAGTACGTTGGACCATGTGGCCAGATCAAAGATGGCGTCTGAGGCCACTTGGAACTTTTTTTTTCTTTCTTTTTGTAATCTCTGCTGTCTCATTAGCATTTCTAAAGGCAATAATGGTTCTTCAGTGGTATGTTGCTTTGTCTTTGACTACTTCCTGCCCTGTGTCTGATGGGTTTTGCAAGCCAACTGTGGAGCAGTGGTGTTTTAATTAGCAAATGTATGCCTGGGTGTTAAGGAAAGAGTAGCCTTAAGCAGTAACTGGTAATCGCTGGTATCCTTGATGGATTCTTGGAGATAACTTGAATTTTGCAAAGTCTGGATCAGAAAAATTAACAAGATTTTGTCTGAGTCTTGAAGGATTTGCTACTGTGAATTTTGTCTACACAATTTGTTTTGGGCATGTTTGCCATTTTGAATACTGGATTTGTTCAATTGCTGGTGTAAGACAAGATTCTAAGTTTCTGCTTCCTACTGAGGAAGGTCTGTTGTGGAAAGCACTCTTTAGGGTGCATCATGTAACTGTACCAGGTTTTCATACCTGTGTTGTTGTTGCCCCTCCCTAGTGTGGGGGAGGTGTAATCTGTGCTTAGATGTTTACTCTGCTCTTTCAGCTTCTGTCCCAGAGTGGCTAACAGAAGTAAGGAGATGACTCCTTTTAATTGAAAGTTAATTACTGATAATTTGATTTTGCTTTTTCAGGTTCTATTCCAGGAAACCCAAGGAGTGCCTGCTTGGTGGCTAACAAGAGATGACTCCTTTTGCTTGAAAGTTAACTGTTACTTTTATTCTTTCAGTTGCTGTACAGAACACCCCAGGATTGACTTCTAATAAAAAGTCATCAACACTGAAAACCCTAAGGTGATAAACAAGGTCATGTAACTCTTGTGATTAATAAAACTTTTCCTTCCTATTTCCAAAGTCTTAGGTTTGCAGGATGACAACTGGAAATTTTTCTGCCAGCAACACTCCACATTTTTTTTTGGACTTTGACATTTTTTTTCTGAGCCTATGGAGTAAAACTGCAGTTACATAACATATTCTACGTGGCATAACTAAAAAAAACCTGTCTTTGTCTATACGTTGTATGTCTGTATGTCCTTGTGTCTAACTGTCTTGACCTCCAGTGATCAACAAATTGGTATACATGGTGCCCATAGACGTTGAAAAAAAAAAAAAAAAGTCTCCGGTTATGAGAAAAACAAAAAGTTATGGTTTGATTGTCAACATTGTGCTACTGAACTAAGCCGGTGCCTTCATAGAGATTGAATATTGTTGTTTCTGTTAATTTTCTGATATTTATGGCAAAGCTTCCCAAAAATCTAAATTCAAGTACAAATTTGGTAGCCTGTCATTTGACTGATGCAAGGAAATTTTGTGGAACCTCAGTAGAGCTCCTGAGACACTCCACAAAGTTTCTCCCTTTCCTCCTGGAAAGGCATTACATGAATTTGTTCTATTTGGCTTTTACCTAATGAAGTAAAACTGGAAGGGAAGCATTGTCACTTGGGAAAATGGTAAAAAACTTTGGTATGTCCAAAATGTTAACAGTAGTATCTGGTATGTATGTAAATTGTCAATGGTGATTGTCACCTTGTAATATTGTATAATTCAATTGTTTCACACCTACAGAAATTGTTTCCGGAAATATAGGGAAAAAGGTCTCAATAGATTCCTATTGATGGAACTGTTGAGAGTAAAAAACTTTCCTACAAAGGACTGAATAGACCTGGAAATACACCTGACATTTACTAAGGTTTCTTTGACATAATACTGGAAATTTTTTATGCATTCTGTCCTGAATCCACGAAGTTTTTGTTTTGTTTTGTTTTGTTTTGTTTTGTTTTGTTTTGAGTAACCAGGATCTGCAGAAAGGTTGTAATTTTTTTTCCAGCAAAACTAACTTGTCACATTTTCTCTCCCCTTGATACCAACACAGCATACAAATAGTGGTAGTAATTTTTGCTACTTATCTTAGAGTCTGTTTTTGCATAACTTCCATAGGGATTTTGTCTGTTTTAA